CTCTTTAAATATAAAATTATTAAAAACATTTGATATACTCTTTATTTCTCTCTTCAAAAATATCAAAAGTATCAACTATTTCTTCTCTTTATTCAAATTTTATTAATTTTATATTTCAATACACCCCACTATTTTAACTAAAAACATTCTCTTTCTTCTTTTAACTCAAATTTTAATAATTTTATATTTAATGATACCCACGTTGTATCACCAATACTCATGCTCTAAAATCTTGTCAAAATTTTATAATAAACCGGTGCGGAAATGGCTACAGAAGTTACGGTTTAATATATAACCCAATATTTCGATTGATAATCCGGTATAGACCAAAAGGCCGTTCCATTTGTGGTTTACCAAGGTTAGAACAAAACGACGTCATTTTGAGTGTGGAAGATAGTAATGGGCTTGAAGTGCTAAGGGACCCTTAGAAAAAAATAAAGCCTATAAGCCCATCTTTCCGTCGTTCCCAGATTTAGGGTTTTCCAGAGTTTGACATGATAAAAGAGAAAGAGTTTTCTTCTTCGCGCAGCTTTCTCGAAAACCTAATCTCTCAAAACAATATGGTGTTCGAAGCATTCGAAGTCGGTACCGTTCCTTTCAATTCCGATGGTTGGGGTCCTCCAGATGCATCCGACACTTCTTCCTCCGCTTCCTCCACCAGCGTCGCGGCGGCGAATCTCCTCCCCAACGTTCCCTTCGCTTCCTTCTCTCGTTCCGAGAAGCTAGGTCGTGTCGCTGATTGGACACGAGCTCTCTCAAACCCCTCTGCTCGTCCTCCTACCGGATCTAAATCAGATCCGTCAGCGCTCTTCGATTACTCAGCTTTTGCAGTAGATGAAGGATTCGGTCTCGCTAATTCCGGTGGAAACGCCGATGAAGACGCAGCTTTCCGATTGGTTGATGGAAAACCACCGCCTCGTCCCAAATTCGGACCTAAATGGAGATTCAATCAGTACCATAACAGGAATCAGCTTCCTCAGCGTCGTGATGAAGAAGTTGAAGCTAAGAAACGTGAAGCTGAGAAAGATCGTGCTCGTCGTGATCGTCTTTACAATCTTAATCGGAACAATATTCACCAGCAACGACGTGAAGCAGCCGCGTTTAAGTCTTCAGTTGATATTCAGCCGGAATGGAATATGCTTGAGCAGATACCTTTCTCTACTTTCTCTAAGCTTTCGTTTACTGTTCAGGAACCTGAGGATCTGCTTCTATGTGGTGGTCTTGAGTATTACGATCGGACTTATGATCGTATTACTCCTAAAGCTGAACGTAGGCTTGAGAGATTCAAGAACAGGAGCTTTAAGGTTACTACAAGTGATGATCTTGTGATAAGGCGTCTCGCTAAAGAAGATAAAGCTACTGTTTTTGCAACTGATGCTATTCTTGCTGCTCTTATGTGTGCTCCAAGATCAGTTTACTCGTGGGATCTTGTGATTCAACGTGTTGGGAATAAGCTTTTCTTTGATAAGAGAGATGGGTCACAGCTAGATCTGTTGTCTGTTCATGAAACATCTCAAGAGCCTTTACCTGAAGGTAAAGATGATATCAATTCTGCTCATTCTCTAGGTGTGGAAGCTGCTTACATCAACCAGAATTTTGCTCAGCAGGTTTTGGTGAGGAATGGGAAAAGAGAAACTTTTGATGAGCCAATTCCAAATGTTAATGAAGGTGAGGAAAATGCTTCTATTGCTTATAGGTATAGGAGATGGAAGCTTGATGATAGTATGTATCTAGTTGCTAGATGTGAGTTACAGAGCACTGTTGAACTCAATAACCAGAGATCATTCCTCACTCTGAATGCTCTTAATGAGTTTGATCCTAAGTACTCTGGTGTTGATTGGAGACAAAAGCTTGAAACTCAGAGAGGTGCGGTTTTAGCTACTGAGTTGAAGAACAATGGTAACAAGTTAGCTAAGTGGACCGCACAAGCTCTTTTGGCTAATGCGGATATGATGAAGATTGGTTTTGTTTCGAGGGTTCATCCTCGTGATCATTTCAACCATGTTATACTATCGATTTTGGGGTATAAGCCGAAGGATTTCGCTGGGCAGATCAATCTGAACACTAACAACATGTGGGGTATTGTGAAGTCTATTGTTGATCTGTGTATGAAGCTGAGTGAAGGAAAGTATGTTCTCGTGAAGGATCCATCGAAGCCTCAAGTTAGGATTTACGAGGTTCCGGCTGATGCATTTGAGAATGATTATGTGGAAGAGCCTCTCCCTGAGGATGAACAGGTTCAGCCAACTGAAGAGAGCACTGAAGGAGGAGCAGAGACTAATGGAGCTGCTTCTGCTACTAATGAAACTGCAGAGGATAAGAAATCAGAAGATCAAGCCTGATTGGTGATGGTACATTTCGAGTATTGTTGTTTTGAGTTACCTTTTTAAGAATGTTCCAAAGTTGTTCACTCTTTTCATAGACTATTTATGCGGCGGGTTCATGCTTTTTTTAGCTGAATAACTAAGGAATGTTGCACCTTTTTGAGTCTTGTTGTTTGAATTAACTCTATAAATTCCAAAGCTCTTCACTTTTATAAATGATTTGTGTGGCTGGTTGATGCTTTTGGCTTGAATTATTAGTTGATTCATATGGTAGACAATATTGCGGTTACTTGAATTATAAATTGTGAAAGTCATCGTTGTTTTGGCATTCTTCATTTAGTTTTCTCCATAATTTTTTTACTGTGAGCCTCTCTTCGTCTCCCGGCTGAGCCTTTTTAATCATCAGGGCCTTTCCCTTGGGTTTGCCTTAGATTCTTTAGTTTCTACCTAGACCCAAGAATTTGATAGTGGAAACATTTCTGGAGAATGTGAAACTCTTGACTTTCGATTGAGAAGCAAGAGTCCTTTCACATGGTCCACAAGGTTCCTACTGAAAAAGATCTCCTTTTATCGGACCAGTTTATTATGATCAGTACTAGAAGAAAAATTTAAAGGACTTTCTTTTAGGGCGTTATCTTTTAGTGAATGTCTTGGTTATGTGTATGTGCGCTTGCTCTGACATGGATCAGTTGGTCTGTAGATAGTCAACATAGCTATATACTTGTTTGGGTTATAGGTATCTAATGGATGTTTGTTCTGACATATCTAATGGATGCTGGTCTATAAAGACCTTGTGTTGATGTGTGCTTGTTCTGCGATGAATATACTCGACAACGGTTGGTCTATAAGGATTTAAATCGAGTTATATCGGTGTTTCGGTTGTGTGTGCTTGTTCTGACATGGGATATCTACAAAATTAATATAGTTGGAGAGCTCTTTGTTTTGGTTGTGTGTATGAATGCTTATTCTGACATGGGCAAATTCAAAGAACAGTAGATCTGCAAAGACCCGAGCTATATCCTTGCTTTTGACTGCAACAAAAGCTGGAGATCAAGTTGATAGCACACTGAAAAGAGATGACAGTTGTTATGGAACATTTAATAATGCCTGTGAAGAGGAAAGAGGTTATATAATCTGTTTCTGAACTCAAGAGGGATTTTTTCGTTGTCGTCTCGGGAACAAGAATCAAGAGAGTGTTACTAATGTATGGTCTTTAGTTTCATCTCAATCAATTCCCCGGTGGTCTTTAATTATGGTTTGCAGCTCAACCATAGTATGGTTTCATAACAACGCTCCCACTCAAATCATCTATCTCCTTTGATTATTTTGTTCTAAGTTTAAAGTCACAGTTATTGTAAAATCGTTTTTTGTTTGAATAATAATTTTAAATTCATCCAAAAAAATTAAAATATTCAAATAATCCTGTGATACGTGAAGTAGAAATCTAGTACCTTTAAAAAGTAAGGTTCAAACAAAAAAAAAAGGAAATATTTTAGTTGTATATCTGTTCAATATGATAAATACGACTTGTGAGTAATAACGATTTCCTATTGTTAATTTCAAACGCCGACTCCTCCTCCTAGGGTTTTTTTGCCTCGTGAAGATGCCAGAAGCCAAACTTGAAGAGATAGTTTGTGAAGACATGATCAGTGCTTTACCTGAAGATTTGCTTGTGGAGATATTGTTGTTTACCCCGATAAAAGATGCAGTAACCACAATGATTTTGTCTAAACGATGGCGTTTTATCTGGACGATGCTGCCTACACTTGAGTACAAAGATAACGAAGAGGATACTGATGAGAGCAAAAATAGTATATGTTGCTTTCTTGACAAGTCATTGTAAAGACAAGTCTAGCCCAAGCCCAATGTTGATCCAACAAACTTAAAGGCCGAAGGAAGACCCATGTGTTTAGGGTTTCTTACAAGTATTTTCAGATATAAATATCAATGTTTTAGCTCTTAGTGATTGTAACTTTGGCTGCCAAAAACGCAGCCCTCTTTCATCTTATCAAATCAAGCTAGACTCT